ACCTGCAGTTTTATCAAAACTTTAATAAGGAATTGTTTATTGTGCGAATGTTTTCTTAAACTTCGCCGCGCTTTGCTTTTCATAACTTTTTTTTAATATTTAGATATATGGACGCTCACGGCCCTAGTGTTAAGTGGTTACCGGAGAGCATAGATATCAACAACATATGTATATGCTACCACCCACCTTGAGACATGAGTTCTTAGTCTCAGTTTTATAGTACAACGGCTGCCCTACCCTTCAAACTGTTTCAGTTACGCAAACTTCTTTTGCGGTGTGCAGTATTTTGGTTTTCTTCATTTTTCATCCTTAAATCAAATGTCTCTTACAATAGTGAATGCTGTGTATAAGAGAAACGACCTAGCTCGCTTTGTCCTTTCCCTCTATCCACGATCGAGTGGTTCGCGAGACGCTCTGTCTATTTTCTCACTCTCGCTCTTCCTAAATTGTATTCTCTCTACCCGTAACGAATCTGTCGCAAGTTCAATTTTACTCTCAACGCGCCTAAAGAAGTTCCACTTCAAAAATACGCACACTACATATTTTTGTAATTGTTATTAGTCACAGCAGCAATATATTTTTAAGTTTGAATTAAGTTTAGAGTAAGTTTAAGTTAATTAACACTAGTACAATACGCAGACAATGACACAATCGTTAAAAATGCATTAGCACATTACCACAATAAAGTGGAAAGTTAGAAGCTCGAAGCTGAGCTGGCCCTGAGCGTAATTGAATACAACGAGTTGCATATTCATGTCGAGAGCAAGCCCGCGTCTCCGTTGTCTAGGGCCCGGTACACACGAGTCTGACTCGCGATTACATCGAAGCACGTGTAACTTCAATCATAAATTAAAACTGAGCTCCGTGGAATATAAAATTCAATTTAAACGAAGCAAACCTACCTACTACATTCTGTTCGAAGAGTTTAATCGGAAAACCGTTCGACTAAACGATTTTTTAATGAAGCCACTCTCATTCCCGTCACGAATAAGGATTGTGTTTATTCCCGAGCCCCCACCTGTGCTTGAGTGACGTATCACACCCTCTCGGATTAAAAACTGTGCTGGCATCAGACCGTCCGTGAAATTAAATTTATTTAGGTCCCACTCCACATCACGCAGCGTGTCAACGATATTTACATAAAGAATAGTTCGGAGCAGGACGCGAGCCCGTGTTTATATTGCGCCGTCGCTGACTGCTTATTGAAATATTTCATTGTTAATTCTTGAATCGACGTCTTCGTTTAGAGGGGACGAGCTACAAATGGCGCCCGCTGAATGCTGGATTACTACTATTTATTAAAATAACAATAACTTCGATGGTTCGTATTTTTCTATTTCGGTACCTGAAGAAAGTAAATAATGATGTGGAGAACTGAGGGGTCCGGATGTGAAGGATAAGCCACGGGTTGAGGCTATTTACACGTAGAACTGTGGCGTACACGTAGCTGATAATGTTGGCATAGGTCGGACAAAAAACATGGCCGTTCCTTAGATAAAGTCCGGAGATAACGTCAAGGGAACGTGATGATAAATCGTCCTTGCATTTACTGCTCCGCAAATAAATATTTTCCGTACTATTATGTATACTTTTATAATAATAACTGGTATTTATTTACTCCATAGTATTTTCTTCGGTTTTTTATCGGTTTATCTCGCGTTTTTTTAATGTCTAAATATATTGGCAGCGGCTTGGCTCTTCCCCTGGCATTGCTGAAGTCCATGGGCGACGGTAACCATTCACCATCAGGTGGGCCGTGTGCTCGTCTGCCTACAAGGGCAATAAAAAATAAAAAAATAAAATCCGATGTTTCGAATATTTTACATAGCATACGTAAAATGAACGGGCCAAGTATAAACCATCCACTAGTACACAACGATTAATTATCGATGCCTGCTTTCCTTTAATTTTCTTACGGTACTTGGGTTCGCTAGTTCGCTAAATGACACAAATAGACAGGATAGACATACCCATCATGGTAGGCTTATAACAAAAACATACATTCACTTCAACGATAGAGTTTATCGAGGAATTGATGATAGTTAACCACAGTGGGATGATGAGCTTGCACAACCGAGTCTTAAGGTTAACCGGACTGACTAATAAAATTCTCTTACTTATTGGGCCTAAACGGTATGAGAATTTTATTAGTCTGTCGAATTCTCTCACCACCATTTTATTTCAATTTTTATCAACATCTAAGATGCTGAATCGTGTTACGCGGTATTCGTGTGAAGAGGTTACCTCGTCTAGACGAAACCCCACACTTCGTTCGAGTATCGGGTTACTTCAAGTTTTTTTTTACTTACGTGTTAACCCACCGCAAGGCTAGTGAAACTTAAGATACAAATAATAAGAAATTTAAGGACGGAGCATACTCTAAAAGATTTATTTCGGTGGTTAGGCAGCGGTCGCTGCTAAGAATATGATTATTCTCGAAGTAAAGTATCATATCGATTTTCTTGGATATAATTAAAACAACTTTACAGGACCTCTTGTGAGTCCGCGCGGGTAGGTACCACCACCCTGCCTATTTCTGCCGTGAAGCAGTAGTGCGGTTCGGTTTGAAGGGTGGGGCAGCCGTTGTAACTATACTTGAGACCTTAGAACTTATATCTCAAGGTGGGGTGCGCATTTACGTTGTAGATGTCTATGGGCTCCAGTAACCATTTAACACCAGGCGGGCTGTGAGTTCGTCCACCCATCTAAGCAATAAATTAAAAAAAGAACTTTAATTGAATTACTCGTTGACCCAAAGCGTGGTCTAACATCAGTGCTCCAGATAATTATGAATTATAATAGTAGGACAACTTATCACTGAATAAAATCTTCTGGCCTAATATGAATATAATTAGGTTAATTATAATTTAGCTCACATATTAATTCATTAAAATGCGTATGATGTAATTAAATAAGTTCATTGTACGTAAAATTACGAAGGAAGTGTCCGTTGACTGAACATAGTGTTACAAAATTTTGCAAGTAAAGACTTTTGCGTTTTAATCAGAATACATGATCTAAATTAATGCACGCCAACAAAGATTACGTGTATTGAACGTTGTTGAATTTTGTTAACGACTAAATTGAAGTGGTCATTGTTAGTAATCAGAAATTAAATGACCCACTGAAATTTGTATAGCATTTTTAATGGTTTCTGGACTTATATTGTATGGTTATGTTAACTTAAAATTATCATTAAACGTATGTATGTAACATTCTTATGTGTATATTTTTATTACTGGACACTTTAAAAACAGATGTTCACATGAAGGAGTGTGAACGAATTAACTCTAACCCATTTGTAGGATGTTTGAATGAATTGAAACAAAATTATATATCGGATCCGGATTTTTGTATCGTCACAACTTGGCTCGATATTTTGCAGCGTCGAGCTATTTGTAAGAAAAAAACATTTTTAGAAATGCTCCGAAGTATTCGTTTAGGCGTCGTGTTTATTGGCTTTGCTCCATAGAATCTCCATAAATGTCATCTTAAATAAATTACACATACCCGCTGCGCCGATCGATCCGACAGATACCCATTCCGGGCCGTCCTCAGCACGAAGCTTTACCAGATAACACATAAAGATACCAGATATGTTAATTTTTATGTTAGGCATTTTCTTTGTCAATATTTTTTTTGTAATGTATCATACGGGTGAACCTACTCACGGCCCATATTGAGTTAAGCGGTGGCCGAAGCCCAAATATACATCTCGGCATTAATCTCGAGCCAAATCGAAGTTTTCATTGCATTTAAACAAAAAAACTGGGTGCTTAGTTCGAGTCTTTTAATAATTTGTATGAAGTTGGAATAGCGCCCCTACACGTTTGCCGTTAGGGTTTTGAGGCTGCTCCAACTCCATACGAATTCGAGTTAACTTTTACGCGATCGAGGAGTTAAAAAACTCTCATTAAGCACACTGTATAATGTAATAGAAATAAGCAGGATGGCAAAAATACCCGTTCAGAATACGTCCTACAATCTTGACATATTTGTGGCGGGGTGTTAGCGATATTTCACTAGATACTTAAAGCTAATAGAATTAATAAATTCATAGAAATTACAATTCGGTGAATGGCTCGGTATGAAGCGGGTATTATGATTTTAATTTTTAAGCAAGAACAAAAGGCAGAAGGTTCTTACGTTGACAAAGACAGATTGGGCTCTATGGCTGCAGGTTGAGTTGACAAAAGACTGATGTCAACAAAAAATCTACTTATTGTGCGCATTTGCTTTAAGCTCGTTACCTGAATGTACTCGGTCTCTTTCAAATCTGTCACTTCGACTTATTCTTAGAACTACGATTAAGGGATAGAGGTAGGTAGGTTGGTAGGTGTAAATGTAGGTACATTTCTCTAAACGTATTGAATTAAAGATTCACATTTAATATCATACGGGTGTGTCAGGCTCGACAATAGTTGTGAATATAATAAATAAATATAATTATTATTTCAACTCTTATTTCTTTTTCTTTTTTGTGTATTTGTATCTTTAGTTTATTACTGTATGGTAGTTTTGAGGTATCTGATATTCGATTAATATTAGCATGAATTCGAGCATTTTCATCAGACTTCAAATTAAATACGTAGTTTTCAATTACGGCGATTTTTCTTTGGTACTTTTGGATTTCTATGTTTTTTATTTGTACAACTACTTTAGGTTATGTATTTCATCGACACATTTATTTTCAATACTGCTAACCACTGTACTACTGCTCAGACCTTAGAGTTGTCATTTGTCAACTAATTGATTTTTAAATTTAGAATAAAATCGATCTTTTTTTCGTCAGATAACTATCATAAATAAATAATGTCTATTTTTAAAGTACAATAAGGTGTAGAAATATTACAATATAGAAATTTAACATAACAGCGCCCGCGTCAGTCATTTCTTTTATCTTGTGATATTGGGCGATATCTGCATGATAACGAAACGCATCATGGGATAACCAAAATTTTGATCTATGTAATTTTAGATAGAGTAAATCCTGTACTCACCCAACAATCGCATCACTTCAGCAACACTGAGGTAAACATTCAAATGCGCCAGGCACGATGGCACCAACAATAACAAAATTAGCCACTTCATGGTTCCAGCCAGTTCCTGATTCAATCTGAGTTATCTACCTTCAACCACATCAGCACGTAGTATTCACAACAAATACACATTAGTTTCACATTTTTATCCACCGTCCTAAAAGAATCGACGATGCCCAGTTCTCGCCACAACTTACAAGATTACTCACTTAAATAAAATGTACGAATCCACAAGAAAATGTCGTATTTATTAATACTATGTGTAATGATTACAGGTATTTAGCAAAGTTAGACTTTAAAATTGCTGATACGTGAAATTTACGATCCAATTTTGTTTATAAACATTATGAATCTCAATAGCGGTATGTAGTTACGAGCGACACAACATTCGCCGAGCACGATGTCTGTCAAACTGGTTTTGTTTATGTTCGTTCGTTCGTTTCGTTCGTTTGCTTCTGCACTTCGCAGTTGCGTTGCCCGTTCACTATTCAAACTGGACGTAATTTCTGAGAAAGCAAAAGAATGTGTGGCATACGAGTTTAACGAGATGGCGCTTTACATAGCATTTTATTCTCTTTGTCAACAATAGATGGCGCTAAATGCTGAAAACATTAAAACTTGGGAAATTAAATACATTTTTTTCGATGATTACACTACCACACTTCGATCAAAAGCAAGATGAGATAGGGACAAAAATAGGACAAGAGATCCTCAAGTGTAAGCGTCGTTGTCGTCTTCGGTTAAGGCTTTGGCGCATTGTCTCGTACTCTCGGATAGTCTTGATTATTTTCATCGCTATTGGAGCGAAAAATTCTTTATTGTCAAAATACCTAGGTCAGAAATTTTGTGCATGAGAATTCCCATTCCAAGTCATAGAAAATTTATAGTTTATTTGACCGGACCTATAGAGAACTTGGAAATCTGTGCAATAGAAAATGTGAAACGGCTACATTGATATGCATTTGTATATAACACAATCATGGGGTCATCTCGCCTATGTCAATATAATTGAGACTTGTCTCAAAATGGATGGCGACATTCAAATTGTCCATACTAGCTTGGGCCCATTAAATGTTTATTGCATTTAGCTTGTGTGCATAGTCTTCAATAATTAAAACGTGTTGTAATTGTGGTGCAATTTCTTTTTTCCTCCAAACGCATTTTTTGCTTTTCAGGGAGGTTTTCATAAATTTTTAGCGGAGAGTGACACCTATTGGCAGCGTTCAAAGCGTTTTCTGTTTCATTAATGGTTTTACGTGTATTTTTAAAATACAGTTGTCTTAGTCATGAAGATGGCATTATTATAATTATTATAGAAATCCTTTAAAAATATCTACAATTTGTTATTTACAAGGATTTTTTGAAATTGAAGCTAATCTTAGTGACATTCACAAAGTTGTGAAAGGGCGTTATTACAAATAAATGTATTATGTATAATTAACTAATCACACATGCTATAAGTGAACGATTCCTATATCATTCAATATACGAGTAGGTATATAAATCATAAACGGTAAGAAGTTGGAAATAATTATGGATTTTTTTAATTGCGTAGGAGAGTGAACGATCTCAATGCCCACCTGCTCTTAAATGCTCACTGAAGCCCGTAGATATTACGACGTATTCACTAACCAGCTTGAGACATGTGTTCCAAGTGTAATGAGTATTCTACTCTAGTTTGAATCAGTGCTCTGAAAAAGTGACCATAATTTTTTAAGGGGTATTAGTTCCGAACACGACGTCAGTTTCGAAGACAGCTGAATCAGGATCTAAGCAACCTGACCGCTTACAATTATCAAAAATAAACAAACATTTTCATGGCAAGTAACAAATGACAATGCGGTTCAACATCCCTTCGTTTCTATGTCTGTAAAGCTACTTCATGGCATACCTTAAAGCATTCGTCGCGTAGCTATCGTATAACATTATAATTTTATATTATATATATTTATTATATTATAGTATGTATTATAATTGTAATATCTTTTGAACCATCTTTTGAAAACTGAAGTCGTTTGTGTATTCCACAACTGTCATCCTAATAGACGTTAGCGCTACCGGGGTAGTAGCTAAAAGTATTACAAGATACCTAAATAAATTGGACAGCAACATTCCTACAGAAACAGGCAGCTATTCACACATCAATTATACTGTAGTAGGGTGCTTGGAGATACAGTATTCGTACATAACACACAAGAACACCACACACAAAACACGCCACAACTGTCAGACACGCAACAGCCACTCGACACACAACATTCATCAAATACACCAAATCCAACAGACACCACTCACACACTGTAACACACGCTGGGGTACTCGCTTTACTGGTGGTAGGACGTATTGTGAGTTCGCACGGGTAGGTACCACCACTCCACCTATTTCTGCCGTGAAGCAGTAATACGTTTCGGTTTCAAGGGCGGGGCAGCCGTTGTACTGTTAAAAGTGAGATGTTACAACTTTATGTTTCAAGGCTACATTTACATTGTAGATGTCTATGGGCTCCGGTAACCACTTAATATCAGGTGGGCCGTGAGCTCATTCACCCATCTAAGCAATAAAAAAAAAAAAAAAATATTTTTTTACATAAAATCTCAATAAAATTTTGGAGTATAGATATTTTCTTTCCTGTGGGAAACGGGACGGGATATTTATCAAAGCCGACACAAGTCGAGGAAGGAAACAGTAATATAATATATATTCGTAGCTATCATTCTGTTTGTGGTGAACCTACGTATCAAGGTTTTTACCTTGCCAACTTTACGCAAATGAACCAATATTCTCCTGATGCTAAAAGCTACTGCTAACTCAGCCGTAGATTGAGTATTGTCAACTTTCGCCTTTAATTCGTCGTTGACTTTAGTCTTCGGGCGACTACAGGATTCATTTTTAAACTAAAATTTCCATGTTGGAAGCGTTCTGCGTTCGCAGATAGTGTTCTCTCCATACTCGACATTTATATTAGGAGGTGTTTGTGCGGCATTGCTACTACAATAGAACTCGACTTCCATACTTACTCGTATTTTTATTGTGTGCAAAATTATGAAAAAAATACAAATGTAGTTTGGGGAAACAAAGACTATTCAACAAACAGTGGACTGAATTTGAAAGATAATTCAATAGTTTTTAAATTAAAATTCATTTGAATTCATCATCAACAGCCCACAGTTGTCCACTGCTGGACATAGGCCTCTCCCCTTATTATTTATTACCCTAAGCCTATTTTGGTGATTATTGATATTATTACCCTAAGCCTATTTTTGATATTTTTTTCAGCTCAACAGTCATTTAGATTAGAAATGATAAACGATGTACGCGTGTTTAGAGATAATGGAATTTGAAAGCAATCAATTATAGCTTATCATAATACTTTCAAACTACTAATTAGTCGACCTGGTCGAGATCAAAATTTTATTGTATAACGGTTGTCTCACTCTACAAACTAGAATACAAAAATACCCGATATTGGGAATGACAATTAGCTTTATAATTGTCCATTTCTTTGGCACGTTCATGCACGCGGTCTGAGCGAATTCTTAGTAATTTTTTTTACTTTTTTTATTACCCTTGTACGCAGACGAGCACACGTAGGTTTGCGGTAGGCAGCGGCTTGGCTCTGCCTCTGGCATTGCTGAAGTCCATGGGCGACGGTAACCACTCAGCATCAGGTGGGCCGTATGCTCGTCTGCCTACAAGAGCAACAAAAAAAAAACGTATATATACGTGTATATATATATACAACATACGGCCCACCACCTGATGGTGAGTGGATACCGAATGCCAGGATAGAGCCAAGACGCTGCCTACAAGGACATTACATTTAGTGAGGTTCAGTAATGCTAGCTAAATGTTAGTGTAATGTTCGAGAGATGGCGCTGTCAAAGTAAACTGTTCACTGATGAAATTAGGTAATGTATTCTGGTAGGTAGGTACCTACGCAATGCGTAATGCGTTTATTTGCTTTATTGTGTTACGACAAAGTGGCTTTGTCTCAAGTACCTAAGTGATATTAAGAAATGACCACTGACTTCTGTATGGATTTAATTTTCAAAACCTAGAAAGCTCTTGATCAGTAGGTAAAGTTTATTTTAGTAACGCGGAGCTCTATACCTCCGATGTAGTTAAGAAATCCATAAAAGACTAAGCCCAATCGTAGATATAGACTGAATAACGCTCTTTAATAACTTTATAGTTAACGGTAGTTCAAATTTCTAAAAAATAATTCAAAAAGGCTATTGATTCACTGATGGTTAAGATTTGAATATGGCAATTATGAACCAAGAGGTGAAATAAAATTATGTTTGATTCCAAAATAGACTTTTAATATAAAAATTACATACAAAATTCGATTCAATAAATACGTCGTATCCTTTGGTAGTTTCATGTTCACAATTATAAAAGCCGGAATAGCGTGATTGAAAAATAAAAAAATATCAATAGGAGTACAAAAGTATAAACAAAGTTACATTGTTTAGTGCAGTATTGATTACACAAAACTAGATCTAGTCGATAATATAAAAAAATACGCAGCACATAATTTATTAAGTAAAAGCATAATAATATTCGAAAATAATATCAAACATCAACACGACAAGGGCGAGGCTACACGTATGGCACGGGAAGGGTCGGAGCGCGGACGCTCAATTCTCTTTGGGTTTCTTCTCCTTCTTCCGGGGCGGCGGCACGGGCGCCTCACCACCCGGCGCGCGTTCCTTCTTCACCACCTTCTTTACAACTTTTTTTTTGGGTGCTTCCGTAGGGGCAGCTTCGCTTGGGGTCGGCTCGGCCACAGGTTTGCTCTTGGTAGGTTTGACTCCGATATTAGCGAGCGAGACCGCTCCGACGGGTGGCGTGGGTACCGTGGGCTCGTCGACGGCGAGTCCGGCCGCACGAGTCGGTAGGGGTGGCGAGGTGGGGGAGGGGTCGGCGTCGGGCGCGGTGACAGTGGGCGTGCGCAGCTCGCTGGCGATGATCTGGTGCGCGAGCGTGGCGGCGTCCTCGAGCTCGCTGTCGGGGGTGGGGAGCGGGTCGGCGGCGGCGGGCGGACTCAGCTGCAGCTTGCCGGCCGGCTTGCGACGTTCCGCGGCTACACAACCAATATCATCCCGCCTTTATTCTCCGGTTCGGTTACGCGTGACGTTAGTATGGCGGTCACATTAGAGAGCAAGCTCGGTTAGGGCCTGGAACAAAGTCGAGGGAAAACGTGGCTACTTTGTTAATTCGAAAAGATGCAAGCGGATGTTAGAGATCTGGGTCAGCTCGGCGGAGTGCTTTAAAGCTTACTTTGCAATCCATTACAAGGACAATTATTATTTTTACATCTTCGATCGACGGTTTTAAAACGAATTTAGTATTTGAATTTTCCGAATCAAACTAAACTATGCTCTACGTGTACAAAAATATTCATGAATTGTGACATAAGTGAGGGTGCCGAGAATGAGAAAGCGCTGAATAATATTCCTTGCAATATATAAAGAAACATACAAAGCTGAAAACGGATAATGAGTGTTGTTGGAATTTCACGCACAGTTGTCGTCGAAATTGACACAAACTCAACAAAAGTATCGCCACAACGACATGCGTTAAGAATTCATTTGTATTTATTTTCTAACTTCAAAATAAATACAATAAAATTCGATTTAGTTCGTCCCGCTATTGTAGTTTTGTAGCAAAAATTATATTCAATAATAGCGGTACGACTGCACGCGGACCCTACTCTTTGCAATTACTTGGACACAACCCAACAACCAACGAACAATTTCGATAACATTAAATAAGAATTTAATATTCACACGCAAAGCTCTACTGAAACACATGTTTTGGACAAACATTTGTTGTTTTTTTTTTCGGCGTATACGACGTAACAAAAGGAAACGGACATTTCCTCCACCAACCAGTATTTACCGTTTACGAGACATTGCGTTGGGCCCAAGTGCAATTTCGTTATTCATTACCTGTTCTATCAAAGCCGCGTCTCTTGAGCTGCCTCCTCGGTAGCTGGATGAAATAACAACGAATATTGTAACGTGTGCTCTTTAAAAAAACATAAAAAACCAAACATCACAAAACGGCACAAAAGAAAGAGAGAAAAAAAAAGAAAAATATGTCGGTAACATCAAGTTCTGTTCTGTTATGGGTGCTTTGCAGCGCCTCGTCACCGGTTCTCTCGCGTAGAACGTACGAAGCTCAACTATAAACGTATTAGTAAATGTTTGAACTGCAAAATAACTCGGGTGAGATTTGATAGTGCGAAGCCGTTAGCCGTCGTTGCGGTCGAGGACACTGCGTATACTTACATTTGGCGGCCGGAACGACGGGGGCTTCTTCTTTGGACGGTGTGTTGGCTAAGGGAGGGCTGTCGGTGGAGCTATCTCCGGCAGCCGCTGGTTTCTCTGGAGTAGATTCTGGAATAGCGGGACTGGAAGGAGCTTCGGCTGCAAGAGCAGGAGATGCGGGCTCCGCAAGTGTTGAGTCTTTAATTGTTTCGACAACACTTTTGGTTTGAGGCACCTCGGGAGCGGCTGGCTCGGTAGCTGCTGCAATAGTTTCGATCTTTTCTTTGGCTGATTCAACCAGTCTCTTGGGCGATTCTTTTTTGGTTTCCAATTCGGTTTCCGTTGCTAACGCCTCTACTGGCACTGGTATTACAGAGGCTGGTTCTTCCGCAACTAGAGCAATACTAGGTTCCTCTGCTGGTTTCGCCAATGTTTCTGATTCTACAACTGTTGGTACTTCAGTCGGTGCCACTTGCTCGAGTTCCGCTACTGGAACAGGTATTTCGAGAGGCACATCAGATAAAGCTTCACTTGTAATTCCTAATACAGTTTCACTTGCAACTATTGGTGAAGATTCACTTGCAGGTAAAGAAGCAGTTTCAATTACATCTGCTGCTTTAATTTCACTTGGCACCTCAGTAGCAACTTCATCTAAAGCTACGGGTGCAGATTCAGCCACATCTAAGGGTACAGTCTCACCGGCATCTACAGTTACAGTTTCAGTTGCTGGTACAGTCTCAGGTTTTTGTACAGTTTCAGTCTCAGTCGGTGTGCTGTCAGAAGATGGTGGAGTTTCTGTTACTGTTGGTACAGCTGCCGAAGCGATTGCTTCAGATTCAATCGCTACAGGGCAAACGGCCAAAACCTCAACAGGGGCCACTAGAGATTCAGAAGTGACCGGAGCAGGCTCAGGTACTGCGACAGAATCACTATCTATTACAGCAGGCAGAACTTCAGGAGCATTTGTAGTCGCGGAAATTTGTGATGGAGTTTCTTCAACCATTGTTTCGGTAGGTACAGTTACTGTTGCATCTTCAATTGACTTGGTAACAGTTTCTGGAATTGCCTCGGTAACAGTTTCTGGAATTGCCTCAGCATTCTCAGATTCCACTTGTTCAGGAGTGGGCTGTCGTGGAGAGACTTCCTTAGGAGGCGACAATTGTTTAGGAGGTGAAGTTCGGGGTTGGCTTAAAGTTTGAGAAATTTTTGCCCAGATATTGTCAAAAGAATCAGCTCCCATATAGTCAATGTTACCGGCTTCCCAACCTTGACGACGAGCTAAATCGTCTATGGCTTCAGTTGAAGTTCCCGATCCCAATACAACTCTGGCCAAGTTGCCCGCTACGCCACTCTGTAAATATACAAAAGAAAATTTCAATTACAATATTAAAATATTCAATCATTACAATGTTTTCTATTTATGAAATTATGTTAATAACGTTAGGATACATGCTATTTTCAAACTTCAAAAGCATGCAAAAGCATTTTTAACAGAACACACTCATACAAGATACACGATAATTGGAGCTTTAACGCGTAACTTTCGTAAGCAAATAGATAATTACCTGAACGTCTTGTGCGATAAATTTCAACGTAACTTACTTGATCTTCGCTATCACTAAACGCTTCTTCGGCTGAATAATATTCCTGTGGCTCAGGGGACTCCGAAGGCACTGAAGGCATGTCAGGGATTTCATGGGTACAAATTTTTCTACCTCTAGAATCTATGGTCACTTGATGACGTAAATAAAAACCATCATAAGGATGCCTGGGTCTAATATCTTCAACATAATCGTTGTTCTCATCGCTATTTTCATCGCTTATCCCATTTTCGAGATTCATTCGAGAAGAATTAACTGTATCTTTATCTCTTTCCGCTTCAAGATGACGTACCTCGTAGCTCTGTCTCGGACATGAATCTATCAGATTTTCATAGGATTTCGTTGAAGCCAAATCATTTTCTGGTAATTCTTTATTATTTTGTGTGTTGTGCTCAATAGTGTGGTTAGTTTTGTGACATTGATGTATTTGAATAGAATTATTGTGTATGCTGTCTTCGTTTGATTGTAAGGGCACAAAATTTTCTTGATGACTATGTGTTACTTGTCCATGATCGTAATGATTTTCTGAATACTGGGCTTGGTTTGTGGAATTAACTCGGTGGGTTAGATTTTGGTGGTGCATTTGTTGATAATCTTGGTACACATTATGATCATGATGAACAGGCCGTAATTGATTTTGATCGCAATGTTGTGTGTGTTCTCTTTGAGAATTTTCCGGGCATGATGATTCCTCATGCCAAGGTACTGGTTGAATATCAACGTAAGTATTATTGTGATTATTAATGTAATTTTGGTGGATAAAATCACAACTAGATTGGCTATTGTTTTGGGAATGGTGATCGTGTAACTGATTATTGACAGTATGTAATATCTCAGAATGTTGTGAATTATGTGAGTGATGTTTATTATAATCGTAATGATTTTGGTGATCTAGTGAGAAAGGATCTTCGCTTTGGGCATGCGGGAAGTGTTCCGTAGCTTGCTGCGCATTCTCTTGTTGTAAACGATATTCCCAAGCGTATCTGTGTAATTCTTCATGGTATTGGACGTCTCCAACGGAATGGTGACTCGTGACGTCATCTGCCATTGGAGGTATGTTGCCCCCGTAAATATCCCAAGGATCAGGGAGCTCCGAAAATTCATGGTATTGTTCAATATTTAAGTCCGGTATTTGGTTTCCTGGTCTGTGCCAGGGAAATTCTGACTCAGGGTCTAAAACTGGCTGATAGTGAAGATGTTGGTTGATGTCCTGCGGTGGTAACGCCGGGGGATGTTCAGGGGGCTCTTGCTGTGATGCCTCCACCTCAACCTATCGGTTGAAGTGAAACAACTCAGTGGGGTTGCATGCAAATTAACACTTGAACTAAGCTTCACACATATTTCTCCATAACAAGGTGTTAACAGCTTTGTCCAAGCGTCTATTAGTAATATTTTATTTACAATTGCATTTTTATAAACACAGGGATACGGTACTGATATTTAAACTTCTTGTTCAAATTTCATTAACATTTATTTTAAATATACCTTTCTTTTTTTTCAACTATCGCTATGTTTATTGTCAAATGCGGTGATTCTTTCACCAAAATACCAACACCATCTACTGGAACCCAAAACAAAATTGCATATTAGACCGTGCGTCAAGCGAATAGCGGATATGAGTTTAGTTAGAGCATGTTAGTATTTTGGAGAAACACAAACTAAAATCACGGGTACTGAATGCTTCAAACAATCGGTGCGAGTAACAGCGTGTGCAAACAAGCTTAGAAAACTTCAAGCGTTATTGTTTTTCAATCACAATCGAGAAAATTATTTAACGAAACATTTCGAAGGGCAAAAACTAGCAGAGAATGCAAAACAAACTGGATTCCTAAAAATCAAAAGTGATCCGTGTAACTACTGCAAGCAATTGACTATAAAACGCAATAACAAATCACTTTCGATTCAAAATCGTCAATTGCATACGAATTTTTTCTCACCTCTGTAGTTTTAATCTCCTTGTGAATGCTTGGAAAACATGTTGTGGTGTTGAGATCAGAGGCTGATATGAGAAGGGATCGATTTACTTGGTAGTGGTAGGAATAGAGACCGCGGCGCTGCGGTCGCAACGAACCGAACAATGCATATCGATTCCGTATCGAATAACGAATTCAATACTCGACCTAAATCGAGATTCTTTAAATACGTAACGCGGTTACTCTAGTTACAAATAGGTACTATTCGAAACACGATAGGTTCGCGTTTCGTCCGTCCTTTGGACATTCACATTGATATATCACATGAATTTAATAACGATTAGCTAAGTAAACAGATTGTTTCTTTTTTTTCCCGTACCTATGCTGATATGATAGCCTTGAGAGGCTATTTCAGCTTCATCCTAACGCGTAGGTGAGCTCACGGGGCTCAAACTGGGAGTGTTGCTAATACTGGCCCTAGCAAGAGAAGTGCTTCGCAGAATCTACCACCGGATCGGAAACGCGACCCACTGAGTAGAATCCGGCGAGAAACTCAGTGGGCTAAATTGTTTCAAAATATTTCGTAGAACTACTTTTTTTTTTATTGCCCTTGTAGGCAGACGTCCATACGGCCCATCTGGTGGTGAGTGGTTTTACCGTCGCCCATTGACTTCAGCAATGCCAGGGGCAGAGCCAAGCCGCTGCCTACCGCTTAATACTCTCCACGAGCCTCGTTTGAAGAAGGACTACTACTACCGATTAATCGAATTTCGTGTATTACAAAGTTTAGCCAGTTAAGATATAGGGTGCTGTTACAAAAGCGCTTACCATGGAATGGTCGAGTTGGGCGTGGACCTGTGATACGAACAGGTCCCACCAGAGTTGAAGGAACTCCTGGAGATACCCCGGGGCATCGACCGACCGGGACTCCCAGTTGAAGCGCTGAAGCCAAGGCTTACCGGCGCCAATGAAGTGAATGATTTTCAAATTCTGTCCGTAACTGAAATTTAAAATCAACCAATCAAAATGCATTATTTGCAGCTGTTTAAATATGTACGTAGGTACACGTTTTGCGAACATCCGATTTGAATAGATTCAATAGAACTCAATTATAGAATTCTTTGAATAACATATCGACGTTTGAAAGGCAAACGCGACTAAGCGACAATGCGTGAACTTTACAGTAGACTAATTTAAAGTTGAAATACCTGAAAAAAATTATATTTTAACGAATCTAGCTGTAGGATTGAAATGATTTTAATAGACCTAAAAATTTTTTTTTTTTGCGCATCGAATATGGTTATTGCCTATCATTTATGTACAAAGCAGTTATTATCGCTTAGTCACGTTTGCCTTTCAAGCGTCGATATAATATTCTTTAGTACGTACTGTTTCAAAGCTGGTAAATATGAGTAGAAAGCCGCAGTTGTAACGTTGTATAGGAAGGGAAGATGCTTGTTGATGTCGCCGTGCGCCCAGTCAGAGAAGAATGAGTTCAGTAGCCCTTGATCACCACCTGTAATCGCAAAGCATAACAGTAGATTATCGCCTTTTAAATACCACCACCGTGGTTAGGTACCACCACCCTGCCTATTTGCCCCTGTGAAGCAGTAATGCGTTTCGGTTTTCAGGGCGGGTTAGCCGTTGTAACTATACTGAGACCTTAGAACTTATATCTCAAGGTGGGTGGCGCTTTTACGTTGTAGATGTCTATGGACTCCAGTAACCACATAACACCAGGTGGGCTGTGAGCTCGTCCACCCATCTAAGCAATAAAAAAAACGCAACTGAAAGACAATAATACCATCAAAACTGCCTCGCTGCTGCGCGAATTGTATCAGTTTCTCGAAGGTTTCGTTTGAAGGTTGGAAGACAAAAACGCCGGAGTTGAAACAGTCGGGCCATCCCACGTCGGGAGCAGCCGAGAGCTCTTCACGCTCGAAGAGTTCATCGCAATTTTGGATCACCTATGAGAAAACCAGACACGGACTAATAAAAAAACTACGAATAAATATTATATCTATATATATAAAAATGAATTGCTGTTCGTTAGTCTCGCTAAAACTCGAGAAGACGAGAACGGCTGGACCGATTCGGCTAATTTTGAACTTGAATTATTTGTGGAAGTCCAGACAAGGTTTAAAAGGTAGATAAATATGAATATGCTCGGAATGAAGTACAAAAATAACAATTTTGTTTTTCCTTTGATGCGTCCCCCCCAAGGGCGGATCCAGCTTTGGCGCCAGGAGGGGGTCACATAGTCAAATTTAGATGCATTCGTTCCCAAACGTTTGCCATTATACAAATTTATTATATTATATTAAATTAATTAAATATTGAAGGTATGTAGTTACATAAAATCTGTATGGTGACAAAATATATAAATAAAATCATTATATTCAATTAGTGGTCCACCTAAGTCCTGGACCCAGCTCAGGGGGTGGTCATGACCCCCATGACCCTCCCCCTGGATCCGCCATTGGTCCCCCCCCCCGTCGGACGGATTCCTTTTGTTTGTTTTAAGTTTATTTTATACATTATCGATTGAGGCACTACGAAGTCTGCCGGCTCAGCTAGTACACAATATTAAATCGTCTTCGTAATTTGTGTATTATTTTTAAACGGAACAGCAAATAAGTTAATTTTATTTTAATATTTCGGCAGCGGCTTGGCTCTGCCCCTGGCATTGCTGGAGTCCATGGGCGACGGTATCCACTCACCATCAAGTGAGCCATATGCTCGTCTGCCTACAAGGGGGAAAAAAAATTAATTAATAAATACATTATCATGCAACAAGAAAATTTGATATATCTCAATATTAGAGGCTTCAACTATTCAATATCTCTATTGATAAGTTATTTCGTGTTTCCCCGTCACAAACAAATTCCTTTTTTAAAATACATATTATTATTACTTTTTAATACAAACTAGCTCGTCTATTTTGTAAAAAAAAACACATCAGTATGTAGAACAGACTTGAATAAGCATTATCTTAACTACGATTTAAATATTTAAATTTACATAGGTACCGGTGTGCGGTCCACGTGTCGAACAATAACGAACGCATTAAGAAGAATTTATCTTAGTGCGAATAAAAACCAGTTGACACAATAACCTGTGATAACAATGATCGAATGGGTTCCGTCTATAATCAAAACAGCATTAAATATATTTATTAAAATTTGTACTAAATTTATCTGATCGCAATTTTTTATTGTTTCTTTTTTTTTATTGCTTAGATGGGTGGACGAGCTCACAGCCCACCTGGTTTTAAGTGGTTACTGGAGCCCATAGACATCTACAACGTAGACGCGCCACTCGCCTTGAGATACAAGTTCTAAAGTCTCAGTATAGTTACAACAGCTGCCCCACCCTTCAAACCGAAACGCTTTGCTGCTTCATGGCAGAAATAGGCAGGGCGGTGGTACCTATCCGCGCGGACTCACAAGTGGTCCTACCACCAGTTTCGCCACAGAAATCCTCCACCAGGACTTATGTAGCTCTTATTTTCGTGTTCCGTAACGACTCTGTGTTACAATATTCTGTTATGTAATTTGATTAAAAGATCTAACGAGTAAGTGAAAGCATTGACGGCGCCGCGGCGTTTCCTTCGAAAGAAAACTAGATAATGAAAGCATCGAAATTGGAATTGGTCCAAAAATGTTAGCGGCAAATATTTGGGCCACGGTTATGCGTCTCATCATCTAATGTTACATAGTCGACGTCCGGTGGTAACATTGACTTTCTTATCTGGTAAACAATCGATCGAAATAGATTTGACGAGATTCGCAAACATCTGTCGATCGGTCGTTAAAAATCGATCAATATCCGCCTTCCTTCTGTATCGAACATTCGTCTTTAACTACAAACATTACACAATTTAAATATATCATGTTTATTATTTTAATATTATGTTCACTGACAGATTAGTAACTACAAATACTGGTGGTAGGGCCTCTTGTGAGTCCGCGCGGGTAGGTACCACCACCCTGCCTATTTCTGCCGTGAAGCAGTAATGCGTTTCGGTTTGGAGGGTGGAGCAGCCGTTGTAACTATACTTGAGACCTTAGAACTTATATCTCACCTATAACACCAGGTGGGCTGTGAGCTCGTCCACCCATCTAATCAATAAAAAATAAAAAACCCGTTTTTTTTTTTTGCTAAGATGGGTGGACGAGCTCACGGACTACTGAAGTGGACATCTCCAACGTAAATGCCACCACTCACCTTGAGACATGAGTTCTAAGGCCACAGTTCAGTACAACGGCTGCCCCACCCTTCAAATCGAAACGTATTACTCCTTCATGACAGAAATAGACGTTGGTATAGTTTGTTTAATACAAATTAATTTACTTCAATTATTATTATCATTGTATTTGTTTTGCGAGGTGTGCAAGTGTAGATACTTAGCGCAGATAGCAACTGTGTTTATGTTTTCTTTTAAAGTTTTTTTTTTTAATTCGGACACATTTTATCTTAAAATTTATTTCGTCAACGTTCGCAAGCGTATAGCTAAAAACTTCGATCGTGTTTAAATATTTGAGAGCGCCAATTTTAGTTTTTGGCAAAAACAAATATTGTCCGATGTACATCGATTTAGGATTCGCCTGGAAAACAGTTTCCGCATTAAAATCACACATAATCGCCGCCTTACGTCCGCTAAAACAAACTATTACTACATCCAAAATAAACATTATCCCAAAATCCGATTGGTAGAAACTAGAAAATGATTACGATACCACTACGTCCGTAAAAAGCGCTGCCAACATTTGTTTATAATTATGCTTGTGATTTCAAAACAAAATGCCTTGATAAAATTCGTATCTAGCGATGCAAAATGCAAAGGTGTTCAAATCCCGCAGGCGCGGGTACCAAATTTCCTAATGAAATACGTACTTAACAAATGTTCACGATTGACTTCGACGGTGAAGGAATAAAACATCTTGTAATAAAAATCAAACCCGTAAAATTATAATTTGCGTAATTACTGGTGGTAGGACCTCTTGTAAGTCCGCACAGGTATGTACCACCACCCCGCCTATTTCTGCCGTGAAGCAGTAATGCGTTTCGGTTTGAAGGGTGGGGCAGCCGTTGTAACTATACACCTTAGAACTTATATCTCAAGGTGGGTGGCGCATTTACGTTGTAAATGTCTATGGGCTTCCGTATCCACTTAACACCAGGAGGGCTTTGAGCTCGTCCACCCATCGAAGCAATAAAAAAATGCACTTTTTAATCGAGCGAACAAAATGCAAAACACGGTATCTATATTAATGGCGTAGATAAAAGCGAAATTATTAAACCTACAGACAGTCCGTTAAATAATAATTGATTAAGCCGAACGTGAAGACAACTATATATATATATATTTTTTTACAAAGACATGTGGGCTGGCAACCGTTGATCAATTGAAAGATATTGCCGCGTAATTGGTAAACTGGCCGTACATTAGTTTCATATTCGTTTGGGAATTTTATTGCGATGATTTCAATAGGATACATTTAGTTTCACCGCTATTTCTGTTAACAAGATTGTAATTTAAAAGATTTGATATTTAGTTCTATAAATATTATACTGGTTTTCGGCGAACAAGTACGCTTAGTGTATAACTTAAATGAGTTGTTTTGGTGTAGGTATTAATTCCAGTTCGATCTGGTTTTTTTTATTAAGTAATACATTTAATCTTGTTTATCAAAAGTTTCTAGAATTATTTTCGAATCTTGGTTTTCGTACATCCGTTTTTTTGTTTGTTTAAATTTCCCTTCTAAATCAAATTTTTGGTAACTTAGAAATTCCATTTTCAAATCTTCGTTTTCATGTATAGATTACATAAAAAGGTTATTCTTAATGAAAACTATTTAATAACCTTAGAATAACCTATTGACATCTAATGTCAAACGTTGCCATAGCATAACGTACAAATCCTTCTAGCATTTTCTCTCTCCTTTGAAAATAATTGAGGATAGGAGTTGTAAAATAAAAAAAAAACCTTACTGACCAATATATCGGCATCTAGGAATACGCATTTCTCGTACTGAGTGAGGTTCCAGCAGTGGATCTTTGTGAAGGTGATGCCGAGCTCTGGCCGCTGGAGGAGGGCCAGGTGAGCCGCGTCTCTTGAGTCCAGAACGTCTACCGTGACTACTTCGGAGAAAACTGCGCGAAGACGATCCCTGTTCATCGGAATATAAAATATATTAAATGTTTAGTGTTTCTCAGGAAAATTGGCTAATCGTAAATCTTCTTCTTTTTCTCCACCTTATCCAATTAGGTGGGGTCGGCACGGCTAATTTTTCTCTTCCATTCTCTTGTATCAGCCGTCATCTCAACACTCTGGTGGTAGGACCTCTTGCGAGACCGCACGGGTAGGTACCACCACCCTGCCTATTTCTGCCGTGAAGCAGTAATACGTTTCGGTTTGAAGGGTGGGGCAGCCGTTGTAACTATACTTGAGACATTAGAACTTATATCTCGAGGTGGGTGGCGCATTTACGTTGTAGATGTCTATAGGCTCCAGTAACCACTTAACACCAGGTGGGATGTGAGCTCGTTCACCCATCGAAGCAATAAAAAAAAAACTCACTCCTCTCTGTCTCATATCGCCATTCACACACTCCATCCATGTCTTCTTCGGTCGAACTCTTCCCCCTCTACCTTGCACTACCATTTCCATACATCTCCTAGTCACATGCATCTTCTCTCTACGCATCACATGTCCATACCAATCGTAAATACGCTCTTTAAATAATTTTTCATTTCTTTATTAGGTCCGTCAACAGTTATGACTGAGGTATCTATATTATTAGGTATTCTTAGGACACAGTATACAGTGGTATTAAAGTGAGATATCGATTTAGATTTATGCGATCGGATCAAAATTCCTCAAAAATAGTATTTTACTGTCTCTACACCGACTGCTTTTAGATCGATTACCAAAATAAATCTTAATTTAAAAAGTCTAATATTATAAAGCTGAAGAGTTTGTTTGTTTGAACGCGCTAATCTCAGGAACTACTGGTCCGATTTCAAAAATTATCTCAGTGTTAGATAGCCCATTTATTGAGCAAGGCTAACATCACGCTAAGGTCAATACAAGCGGAGCACCAATAAATAATGTTTCAAAATAGGGGTTTTTTTTCCCTTTTGAGAGCTTCCGCTGCGTGCGCTGAAAAAACGATTAGTTTCGCTAAAATAATGTATGACAGAATTATTCCCCTTTATAAGATCTAAAAAAAAGTCCGCGACAGCATATGTCTAAATGTTGAGGTTGGCTCACTATAACGTTTTTTATGCTAACGTGAATTAATCCACGCGGATGAACTCGCTGGCAAAAGCTAGTATAGAACAAGGGCAATAAGAAAAATAAAAAAACTACATTAAATAAAATCAAAAACATGGATATCGGACGTTACGCCTCAAATATGTATAAATGGTATTAATTCGTGCTATCCTTCACGGGTTTTACCGCGGCGGTATGGTTGTTCTCGCAAATCCATCATACGTTCCGGTTAAAAGGGTAGCTGTTATTCCAATACTATTGAAGCGATTTATTTGGGTATTGTGTGAGTAAAGACTTTAGTTCATTGTGAGCTCATTTATCCTTTTGGGCCATTGAAAAAATCTTTGATTTCAAAAAATATAGTGGCTTAATACGGCGGTACAGTGCGTTTAGTGGGTGTTATTGTTGGTTAGACCAGCTCATGGCATTTACTCATGGTTTCGGCTCAAAACCAATAAGTAATATCTTAGACAACATGTGTTGACGACGCTTCCCATCAATTTTAATTAAAATACAAATTCAAAAAGTTTTCAATTCAACATCAAGTATATGATAACGTAACTGTACCTTTCACAAGAAAAGTCGACTTTCAAAAACAAAATTAAATTACATTAGTAATAGCTCTGGCAAAGGTTGTGGTCAAACATAAACGTCTACCAACTTAACCAAATGAAAACAGTTTTTAATGAACAACATTTATAAACACTCACCTCATAGCTTCACTGACGGTAGGTGTGATGAGTGCTACGGCAGGGTACACCGAACCGGCGCGGCGGAGCGAATGGGCCAGCACCAGAGCTCCCAAGCCGTAGGAGTCGTTTGTGGCCAGAGTTACCCATGCTCGATCTGCATCCAACAATATTTTTAACCGACTTCAAAAAAGGAGGAGATTCTCAATTCGACTATTTTTTAATGTTTGTTACATCATAACTTTTGACTGGGTGAATCGATTTTGATGATTCTTTTTTTATTAGAAAGCTGACGCTTCTCGTGTAGTCAATTTAGTAGAGTTCTGATAATGGTATCCATGAGAAAACCATATAAGTCTTGAATTTGCATTAAATACGTGCGCGACAAATAGAATAACTCAATATCACGCCAACCGATTTCGATGATTATTGTTTTTAGTGTAAATTAATTTGTTTTGGAATATCTTTTTTTTTTCTAATTGAAGTCGGTTTTTGTTAAAGCATGTCTATTTACAATTACCTATTTTATATGAAATATTTTCCGTAACCCATTCATTATCGTCAAACATTCGCTCCCTAAGACATTCGCTCGGTACAGGTCACTGTAAGTTGCCAGGAAAATTTGAAAAAAAAACGATTATTTGAAGGATCCTGCATGTGTCGTACACCTATGTCCTTTACTAGTAAATACTTAACAAAACGTAACCAGAAGACTTATAATTTCACACAAAGTGTTTAATTGAATATTAGTATGATTGCTTACCTTGATATTTGGATCTAAACGTTGTACCTAAATTGTTCTAGTCTCGTGGATATACATATATTATGTGTATTTTCTACACGTTTACTACACGTAAATGCTAACTTGAGCCGCTGAATTGGAATCGTTTTGCGATTTCTATATCTATCAAAGCTTAAATTTTAATTACAATAACTTTCTTGTTATGAATTTAGTAAAATTTCAGACCTCTATTATACATGTAAGTATGCTTCTATTATAAAAACCGCTCTACTCTTTTGCATTGGTGAGAAAAGGAACGCGCTTTACTTTAAGTGTCAGTTCGATAATTTAAGCTCAAGAAAAATAAATACGTATTTTACTATTTCACTATATTATTATTTTATTTAGATACACAAATAAGTAAGATCAATGATGTTCATATTAATTCTAATTTAACAACACAACATAGTTAATATCAAGAGTAGCGGGATAAATTTAGCTTTTAAAAGCTTCAAACAATATCGTACATCAAATGCACGAGAACCTACGTATTATTAGGCGATATAAAACTTTTATTTATGTTATTCCAACGTCTGTCCGTTTTATATTCGTGAATTATGAAAACAATGTGCTGCGTCCTTGCATTTCTCTGTCAATACTCAGAATACTCGATCACGTGAAACGATTCATACATACATTTAAACGCTACACGAAAAATATGTTTTATTACTAGTCAGAATGCACAGTAAATATAGTAATGTAATTCACTAGCGTTTCGATTGACTAAAAATCATCTGGACAAACGTAACAAATCTCTATATATAAAAATGAATTGCTGTTCGTTAGTCTCGCTAAAACTCGAGAACGGCTGAACCGATTTGGCTAATTTTGGTCTTGAATTATTTGTGGAAGTCCAGAGAAGGTTTAAGAGGTAGATAAATATGAAAATGCTCGGAATTAAATAAAAATTACAATTTTGTTTTTCCTTTGGTGTGTCCCTTGTCGGTCTTTTATATATCGATTGAGGCACTACGAAGTCTGCCGGGTCAGCTAGTATGTAATAAAATCGCTAATGTAATCGCTAAAATCATGGTGCCAACGACGTAAATGCGTATCGAAAATAACCAGGAAGTCTGCTATTAGTATTGCGTAGGTCGCACTTTAGTTTTCTATTAATTTCGAAGCATCATCGTCGTAAAAAGGTACAAGGAAATACAATACAAGTCCACTGAGCTTCTCGCCGGATCTTCTCAATGGGTCGCGTTTCCGATCCGGTGGTAGATTCTGCGAAGTACGGCTCTTGTTATGGTTCGTGTTAGCAACATCGTCAGGTTTGAGCCCCGTGAGCTCACCTACTAGTTAAGGTTACGCTGATATGGTCTCTCTAGACCATCAGCTAAGGTAGGAAAAAAAAAAAGAAAGCGCAATACAAAAATTCATTTCAGTAAGACTTGAATAGCGTTTTGACGTCTATCGTTGGAAGTAATACTAAAGGCACTAAGTTATTGCTGAATATAATGAATTTTAAATGAATGTTTACTGTTGACTTTGATTAGAACCAGTGTTGTAATTTTTGCGATCTTTTTTTTCCATTTCAATTATCATTAAAAACGTAAATTCTTCGCGAGGTAACAAAATACTTTGACGTGAGTAATTCCCAGCTTCTCTACCCGCGTGGGCCATTACAGGCTGCCTTGTATTAGACAAGTGCCGCACGTTCTGTTCGGAAATAGCGCGACACAAATAAAATTCAAAATAAAACTACTGGATAGCGTCAGATATTCCGCGTGAGCATGTCGCCGCGGGTGTGTTCCGCAATTAAACCAATAAACACTGTCTTCTGTCACCACAAGCGAGCCCGGTGCTGCTCAGGTACTTTCATCTCACGACATATCTATGAGATTACTTTTACGATTTAGGTATTTAAGTCCAATCGTACGAAAACGAGATTTATTGGAGAAACATCCTTTACGTGTTACACGCATAGGAAGCAGAATTCTAAATTGATTCCAGGAAATGTCGTCAATGAAGGCCAAAACGTAACGCTATTTGCGAGGAGCCGCAGAATGTTTGTATAATGTTTATACTGCGTACCAAAGTCGTTAAATGAATTTAAAATTTTCACATTCGACATTAAAAGCTGCTTCCGAACCAGAATTTATTACCTAATAACGAATCGTTCAGGGACTTGTTGGTGTGTACAAAAATACTTTGGCTTCCAAAATGCACCCCAACAAGGCACTTGAGTTTAGATGCAGGATCAGACACGCACATCGGGAGCAATGTCCCTGCGGTTTCTATTTAGGTGCGGCCCGTCCGGCGGGATGGAACCACGCGGGCAGTCGACTGTTTAGCGGAATGAAGGAATGCAGCGATGACGGCGTTGTCTTTTTTGAGATCCCGCAATAAGCAAATATACCAAACAGGAAGAATTCGATTGATCTAATTCGCAAGAACATTTATAAAATTTGAGTTATAATGCCCATATAATGCTCCAATGCCCATGAAATTTTGATACCTTCGCAAAAATGGTAATACAAATTATAATTAATTATTAGCATAAACTTTATTTCAGTTTCTCGAATCAGAATAATAATACATTCAATACTTAATGTGACAGAGCCGTGAACTTGAAACGTAGACACGTAAACGCTGGCGCCAGTACAATCGAGTCTGGACCTTCATATGAGTATTGAATACCAGTGCATTCAATACCTATATGAAGGTCTTGTATCCAATACCTATTTGAAGGAATCTGATCTGAAACCGCAAGTTATAATAATAAGTCAGCTGAGATGTTTGGAATTCTACCCAATTTAAATACAATAATTTGGATAATTTGGACGGAGGGTCATACAATAAATTCCTATTTTAACGATAGATAAGGTTTCAAAAACAGAAGCCCAAAAAATTATCGATATAGTAGTTTTTAAGAGAGAGAAACGAGTTTCCAGCACTAGGCAGTTACAGGAGGTTATAGGCATTACAACAAAAACTCCGTCATCCACCTTGAGAGATAAGGTGGAATCATCACAGTAATTGTTATACAGTTATTGTATCTTTCGGAACGCGTAAATTAAGGTGTAATTGGGGGCAGAACGAGGACTTGACCGGGATAGTGGGACTGTATCTCCTGTTGGATAGCCGGAGAGATTATATAATCAATCTAGGATCTTCTGATCTCAAAATTCTTATGCAAGCAAATAGATGAAGATATAGCAGCCATATATAAAATTTATATCATCAGAAGCCAAAAAATATTCGTTATATGTCGTCGAGCGCACGTGAACACCAAACCGCACCGTCAACTATATCGGAAATACCTTCTAAGATTCAGATTTAAAGAAATTGGTTTTCGATCCAGATTGAAAGAAATTGGTTTTCTAACCAAATAGTATTGTTTTTTTTTTCTTGGCTTTCCTACGAGATGTTCCATTAAATTATTGAACGCTGACAAAAACATCAGCAAAATCAAAATGAAATTTCACCGCACGAAAGTTTCACTTTTGTCAAGATTCTTTGTAACTAGTTTTTTTTCCTACCTATGCTGATAGCGTTGAGAGGCTATTTCAGCTTCGCACTAACATGTAGGTGAGCTCACGGGGCTCAAACCGGAGTGGTGCTAACACTGGCTCTAGCAAGAGCAGTGCTTCGCAGAATCTACCGCCGGATCGGAAACGTTACCCACTGAGAAGATCCGGCGAGAAACTCAGTTGGGCGAGTAACTACAACTTGCTTGGTGTGCAATGAGCCCGCTCGGGCTTGTAATAATAACATTCCTGTCAATTTCTGCCGCGAAGTACCACGTTCCGGTTTGAATAGTTGCTTAGTCGGCGTTTTGAAGCATTTCAGCTTAAGCCAAGTTAACCACTCAAAATCGGTTTGGTCATTTAACATGTTACAATGAATACTAAACATATATTTCTAAATATCTAGTATTGGGTCTTGAAGTCTCTTGTTTTGTTTGAAAAGTAAATTTTTTTGTGTAACAACAAAATAGACATAATACATGTACGCAATGGTCATTCTTATCTTTCGCCCTATGGTATCTGTTATTTTCAACAACTTACAAAGGGGAAAGCATTTCGTTCGGAGGATATGTAATTTTTTCGTTTAAACAGACAATAATTATAGTAAAGGCTAAACTAATGTTAAAAAATCTGATAATCTTACTCAACTATATCTATAGTTTTAGTCATGATATGTTTTAGTTACTAATTTCTTTCAATCGAGTTTTAATTGCTTTTGTTTATTTATAAGAAGTGATTTATAAATAGTAACAAGTAATCGCGTTTGTTTTTTATTTTTATCGTAAACCTACTTTCAATGTTTTCTTTTTAGTAAAATCACCACTTTTCTTAACTAAATTAGTTAGTTTTTTTTTTCATTCTTTATTAGAGCCATACACAAATTAGTTCGTTAATTTCAACAAATTAACAGTATCTACTATTAAAAGTCACGGTCAAGATTACGATAGTGCAGCGTATAACAAAACGGTTGATATCGCGTGTTGATAAGCCTATTTATGAATGTGCTAAGTATGTACAACAGATATCTACAATTATGTTTACTATCGGGACATTCTTACACAAGTGAAAGCTGTCAGTTACGGGGTACTATTTTAATTAATTCTAAAGCGGTTCTTAGGAATCCTGAAGGTGTGACGTTCTGCGTGATCAATGAGTTATGAGTTACAAGTATTTTATCAAAATATTGTTCCTGTAACATCTTAATGGGCCTCTCTCTGGTTTTATTTCTACTCATTCCTTCATATTTCTATATCGAATTTAATTAATTTAATATTGTTTGTAGAATAAGTTGTAAGTCACACTATATATTTTGTATTTTAATTACACCTAATTTGCTTTCGAAAGTTCTAAATAAAATTATTTCATCAAATTCATATATTATATTATCAAATTCACATATTTAAAGCGAATGAAGACGACTTTTAGGAAAAGACCGCTTTGAATATCATGATAATATCAAACTACCTTCTCATATTTTATTTCAATTTGTTAATCTCACATTATGAACATTTCAACTACGTTATCAAAAGATAAACTAGGAATATATTGTAAAATGAAATTAAAATTGCCGAATTAAAAAACTTTAGATTGTGAAGAAACAATTATTATCTTACTTGACATTATGAAGCCGGGTGTAGTCTCGTGTGACAGTTCAAGTCACCTCTAAATATCACGAACTACACGCGCTCTTCGCGCAACACTAGTAAATGCACGCAGCGTGCGCGACAAATACCGCGATCCCCTCACTCCGCTCGTCTCCCACACGCACACAACTACGTCGACAAAACGTCACAGTAGGGCGAACACTCACTGACAAAATCAAAGGAAAAACATTTGAAAGTTGTATCAGAAATTAAATATATTATTTTAATTCAACACCTTATGTAATTCAATTGTTTTGAAAATGAAATAAATATGTTTATTGATGTGAATAGCGATCACCTATTTCGAGCACTGGCAACTCGCTCTAAACAGCTGTTCGAGGCGATCGATAGATGTCAGTGTGTATAACTTTATTTTCGCTACCTACGCCGCAGAGCAACGGTATTCGTAGTAAATCACATTGCTTTGCTATCGAACAATATCTCCAAACGCGGAGGCGAGCCGCTATGTTTGATAACATCCACTAATTTTTATTTTCGATGGAGGAAACAAGCGATAGTAGAAGTTATGATGAACATTTATACTATAAACATTTCTGGCTAAGATATCAAATAAATATTCGGAAAATGTGCGCTTAAAAATGACTTGACAAAGCTCAAAGCAGTGTTTGGATTTTGTGTGCCGATGGTAACGATGGCAAATTCTCCGACGAGCATAGAAACTCAAATAGACAGTTTTTTAGAGCAATTTAAAAGAAGTGCTTCTAAAGCTATGGAAGAACGTATGGATTGGCCAGATGGAACGTCTCCAGGAGTTGTCGTCAAGTCCCGCAGTAGTTGCTTCGCTATAGAAACAGCCGCAGGTAAGTCAAGTCACTCTTAAAAATCAAAATTTTGTATTGTGCTGAAACTTCATTATTCTGTAATAGAAATTTTGTGAGTACAAATCTAAACAGCCAACCACATACTATACATTATCATGACGTTTAAATGGAAATTACAGATCGTCTCGTGTCTGATGTTGATTCCGTGTGTATTTTTACGCAAGAAGAAACTCACTTTTATTTAAGTCGCTATCCTTATTAAATGTTGTACAAAATATAAACACACTTACATACATTTTCGACAGCTCGTAAATAGATTATTTAAAAATCGATGCACCCACGTGATTCTTTTACATTACGTTTACTTACATGGGCTTTCCCGCCTACAACATATTTTGAAACAGTCATGTATATGTGCATATACCTAGATCAATTTACATTTAACGAAAATTTAAACAAAAAACGCACTAACTTTTGACGTTTGACATTTAAGACATAATAGGATGTCATTTTCTTAGTTTCATTTAATCCGACCCACGAAGAAATGGATTACTTGTTAATTCCTGGATAATCCTGTCTCTTCGTTACGTAATATTGGGATTATTTGTTTGATGAAGATTAAGGGAAGAGCGGAAAGAAAATATCCAAAGTAATACTTGGTTGGTTGATTCAGAGGCCCATTTGAAATCTCTACAATCTTTTTTCTTCTTAAGAGGTCCCTCAATGGCTTACCTGATTGAATTTATCATTTTCTTAGGTATTTTTGAGAATAGATACAAATAGTTTATTTGTTAACCATCGTTAACCGTTGATGAGTGAACGAGCTTACGGCCCACGTTATGTCGAATGAGCGTTTATGGGATTCCATAGACATAACAACGTGAATGTCGCCAACCACTCCGATCGAAGTCTCAGTTATTATTGTATTATATGACGGCTGTTCCGTCCTTCAAACCGGACTCCGGTACGCATCACTGCTTTGCGGCAGATATAAGCCAGGATGTGGTACCTAGTCATGAGGGCTTTCAATACGCCAGTTGTGGCTGTAACATTTAATGGCGCTGTTGTCCATTCTCCTGTGAATCGGAAAGAGATGGAGTGATGCTATCCTAAATCACACTATAACACACAACCGTGCTACATACACTTTAGATACCCTAATCTTACTTTAAAAACCTGCTTGTACCTCCTTTTGCCTACACTCATAAACATCATCACGAGTCTGCCTGTCTTACTACTGCAGTGCGGACACCTACAGCAGCTGCCTCATCTTTGGGTCTTTCGCGCTTTAATTTCCTACTTAAAAACAGTGTTTCCGGCGATATCCGAATGTACGTCTAATAAGCATCACCTCCTTGTGCTTTCAGTGATGCTTTCACAATATCTACTCTCATTAATACAGGATAGTATTTTAATAATTTCTTTATTTCCTACGTAATCGCCTTCGTTTTTTTATCTTGAATACACGCAGTAGGGCGTATTATAAACTCCCATTTGTTTTCCACGTTTTGTTTAAAGGGTGGACTAGACTTTAGTCCAAATTTCTTGTGGCGGATGGCGTGATTCGTGTGGTCTTTATAAACCTACGTAAACTTCTTAGCGTATTCATATATGCTATTAAAAAACGAATACTTACTAAAACTAGCTCGTACTTTTCCAAAACAATAATGTGATTATGAAAGTCATGCTGTTAACAGACTCAAAGATAAGGAATTTTCATATTTGTAAACTTATGCTGCAAAAAAATAAATAATCTTCGTGTCTCAAAGTTAACGGTATCCCTTCCGTCGTCGGTATATTTGTGATCACCACCGTCACAAATTAAAACTTTAATTACTCCCTGTACATTTCGGCATTGATATTTCTCGATTTAAAAATATTGTATTGAATTGTAGTCAGAAGTTGAAATAGGTGTGTGCAAAGAAGGGCCCGTTTCAAAGTATACACAATTATCGTGAAGCCAAATCGGGACATCGTCGGTTACGTTAGGCTGTGATAATAATAAAATGCTCAGCTACTGCACAACGCAGGGTATCCTGTGCAGTAGCAGAGATAGAGAAAACGAATATAACTGAGCTCGTGCGTCGTGTGAAGTCGAGTCTCTTTTATTATAAAATAGAGATGCCTAATACGATCAAAATGTTTCTTTTTCGATTGATTTATCAAAATAAGATCAAGTTTTTAAATATAACAGACGATTAAGGAATTTTGGATAAAAATTTATTTGTATACTTGATTGTTAACAATTAACCTTACAAGTATCTTCAGTTTGAGGACAACACGAATTCCATTGCATTCATCGTAACGTATAAATGTGGATGTTGAAAAACAAAACAACTAACAAACTCGTGTCATATCACTGTAATATTACTAACGAGAATAACATTTTAACGGATGTAAAACCCAGACCCCGGCGTATCCGTGGTATTTGACGGCTCATTTTTGTTCCACATCGCTGCGGACCCTCCTTTATTAAAAAGAACACGTTTCTTTGTGCTATGCACTAGTGTGCAAGTGTGCACTCTGATTTTATACACATATTAATAAATAAACTTTTAACAAGTATGTTTTATGAAAAGTAGAAAAGTGCAAATACTGTGTAATGATATATTAAAAACAATTTATTATGATCAAGCGATAATCACAAATGAAAATACATGTGTAATTATGTATGTATATTAGATCATGTTCATTTGCTTTTAATTTTCTTAAAATTAGGAAATATTGATAGTCATTTAACAATTGAGCACATTAAAAGTTGTAATGGCAAAAGCAAAAAATATCATCATAAATCGTCAGCATTCACGTGTACACTGTACATATTTAGCACATGGCTTTGGTATTATAATCTTTAGTTATAAAGTGCAGTCAGAATGGTAATGTATCTTTCAGCTTATCATTTTAATTGTTTCTTGTATTTGTCAAAACAATATTAGCAAAACGAGTTGAATTATATTACCAAACGTGATTAATAATAAACTACAATAGATAAATCCTATTATTTATCCGTTTTATTTGATACTAAAATGATTCCAAGCTGTCACATAAAATAATACTTACATTGTTACATATTTATGTTTCAAATAAAAAGTGTTAATTATTACAAGCATCGTTTCACTTTTCATTGCGTGCACGAAAACCTAAAAATGCAAATTGTTACGGATGATGAGCGACAAACGAATATCAACAATTTTAATTCCCAATAAAGGAAAACGACGCTATTTTAAAATAAGTTTATCAAACACACGAATAAAGTTTGATAATCCGAGTAATTATAGTTATGTTATTATATTTTTTATTTTAAAAATGTAATATAAGTCAGATTCTTTGAATACCTATATGTTTTTTCTTTGATGTCTTAAAATGATACCCTCAACATCAAAGTAACATAATATAATTTAAATTAAACAATCGTTCCACTCAAAACACTGCGTTAAAATTTATTGTTTCAAATTTCGCGGGTTACACAGCGTCGATACGGAAATTCGCTACAGACGCTCTCTGGTGGCGGCGCACTGTACTAATTACGTGTTCTACGGCGTCCTCTGATTTTGTTCACGGAAAGTATATCGCCATATTGCTTCCGTGAATTCAGTGAAAAATTTGTACATTTCTCTTCAATTATGACTACANAAACACTGCGTTAAAATTTATTGTTTCAAATTTCGCGGGTTACACAGCGTCGATACGGAAATTCGCTACAGACGCTCTCTGGTGGCGGCGCACTGTACTAATTACGTGTTCTACGGCGTCCTCTGATTTTGTTCACGGAAAGTATATCGCCATATTGCTTCCGTGAATTCAGTGAAAAATTTGTACATTTCTCTTCAATTATGACTACAATGCCAGAATGAAGTGATAAAAAACAATCTACATTTTATCAAAATTATCCTCGATACGTTGTTTTGTGTCTCAACTACCAATACGGCCCGTAAAAGGTAAGTTTCATTCTTTCTTTGCCATGACTATATGGCCCAATATTCCACGGGAGTTCGATCCGCTATGCGATAATGAAACTTAAAAAATGCGATTAAGGTTAATAATTGCGCGGTTTTTGTTATGTTTATTTACATGAATTTGAAAAGTCAAAACGCGGTTTTCTTGTAAATGTAGTTAAATGTACAAAGTTTGTAGTTTCTCATTTGTGTCGGGGCGGGTTTGGTGTCTCTTTGTACATACACGTATGTAGGTACATGTGATCTGACATGACGATCGGTTTTAGCGTCGAGCTGGGATGTCGTATGAGAAAATGGAAGTTGTAAATCCTGCTGAGAAGGAGGCGAGCGAAGTGTTGCATTCCCTTCTTTCGGTGGAGAGGCGTAGTGTGGATAGCAAAGAGTCGATCATAGTCTCGATACCGTCCGACCAAAACGGCGGAGGTGAATACGGGGAGAACGCTCAGTGGCACACACCAGTCATGGGACAACATTCAGTTTTTGAAATGGGAGCCCCACAAAATATTCAACAGCATACCTATAATGGACATCAAGAACAGGTAAGATAAAACTTTTAAATAACTAAGAGTAACAAATTTAAGTATCTACATACAAATATTCTTTGGAACATACAATGATTCTAATGAAAACTGTTTGATATCTATTTAATTTTATTCTTGAACCGCAATGAACTTGTTGTGTGGTGTTATAAGATTAAAAATAAATTATTTCAGGTTCTCTGGCAAGGGCACACTATTCAGGTAGAGAATGGTAATCCAAATTTAACAAACATGCAAGGGCAGTATACTATAGAGTTTGAACCTCAAGTGGATGGTGAGTCCGGAGAATTAGATGTGGATACAAAACCAAAGGTAGAGAAGAAAACGGTTCTTAAAAAAAGAAAAAAAGCTGATTCTGACAGTGATGAGGAGGTGTTGGACAATAAATTGGAAGACAATCCTACACAGGTTATACATCTTAATTTATATCATTGTTTCAAAAGTCTGTCGATATTAAAGATATTAAATAAAAACATATCACCACAAAATATTTAGGTGTAACTAACAGCAAAAAAAAAATTGCCTGTCCATTTGTTTGTTTGAGTAAAACTCCAAAACTTTACATTGATTTTGATGAAATTTTATTTTTAAAAGCTTATGCTTAAATGCACTTCAATATATTGCATATTATTTTGTTTCCCTGAATCTTGCATAATACAAACTTGAAACATTACAACAATAACATCATATATATTTATTCACATCCATCTTAAACAAACTCTCATTTGAACTATATTGATGTTGTGTATTTCAAATTTAAAACTTAATTGAATAACAGGATAGTAAAAAATAATTGCAAATAAATCTTTCAGGTCAAAGAGAGACTGAGAAGAGGCTGCGACTGTAAAGATAACTGCTATCGAGGGCTTAATCCTGAGGCAGTATATCGTCACCGCCTCAACATAGCTGAACTCACAAAAAGCGAACACGACATGTACTTGATGGGCATCACAATGGCTAGCTTAGCAAATCCAGCAGAGACTTCCCGGCACAAAGTAAGAAGGAGATTAAGAGCCTGCTACGTATATCAAGGTAGAAAAGTTTGTTTGGAAGCATTCTTATATCTTGAAAATGTGACACACTATCAGTTAAAACGTATCCGGCAACATGTGATGACCCATGGTGTTGCACCTAGGATACATGGAAATGTTGGTAAGAAGCCCTATAACACTTTCACTTTAGACATATACAAACATGCAACGAATTTCCTTAAGGAATATTTGAAGCAACATGCAAATTCTCCTAAAGATGTTCAGCCTTCAGGAGAAGGTAAGAAAGGCAGCAAAACCATTATTATCCAAGGAGACTCTCGAAAGCACTTGTTCGAGGCTTATAAGGAGTATGGAGAAATCTTAGAACCAGGTGTTAAATTAATGGGTTATTCAACCTTCCGAGCGTTTATGAAAGACCAGTTTCCACATGTTAAATTCGCCACCAAAAAACAAGAAATACCAAAGGATATGATTCCGTTTCGAAGTGGCAAATGCATGTCTTATGATAAAAACAAAGACCCTGTCAGGATGCAGCAAGAGAAAGAAAAGGCCGAGGCGAAGAAGGCAGCTATGGAGGCCAAGAAGAAAGAGGAGCACGATAGAGAACATGCTCAACAACAAGCCCAACAACAGCAACAGAAACAACAGCAAGTGCAGCAGCAGCAGCAGCAGCAGCAACAACAACAACAAGTCCAGCAGGTGCAGGTGCAGCAACACCAACAGATGTCGAATCAACCGCACGTCGTCATACACCAGCAGCAGCCGCAACAACAGCAGCAGATGCAGCAACAGATGCTTGTGCCCCAAGTGAGCCAGCACCAGCAGGTGCTCACACAGCAGGTGGGCGGGGTGCAGCAGGTCTCACAGCAGCACTGCGTGCAGTCGCTCGGGGTGTCGGAGGAGGGCGGCCAACAGGTGGAGATGGCTCAGCAGGTAATACCGCTCGCCGTGGTGCAGCAGCCGCAGGCCTACATCGTGACGCCGGTCTCGCACTTCCAGACCCGCGTGCAGGACGCGTGGTACAGACATTGAGTAAAGTGCAGCGACTCTTCTCCTTTATTTTTTGGCTCCGGCACGGTTTGTGCATTAGCCAGCGTCAAGTAATAAGACTTTTATAATTCGCCGTTTTAATTATTCACAGTTTATGAATAATAAAAAACGAGATGAAATGAAATGAAATGAGATGAGATGATATTGGATGAAATAAAATCTCAGTAAAATTGTGGTTATTTACTGAGACTTTCAGTGGACTTTTTGGAGGATCCCAAGAAGCTACGTCCAGCTACTTGTTTCATTTTCCTACATTTGTGCAGAGAGATTAAACCCGAAGAAACACTAAATAGATAAAATACAACAATTCACACAACTTCGCTCTTCGCGTTCCCGCCAAAAAGTCCCAGCAGCGTCTGGGCATGACGGGCTACAACGGATGCGAACATGTTTACGTAATAGAGATCTCGCAACGACTAAACTGTTGTTAATCGAAATGGTTCCTTAAGAAATCGATGTTGCGTCGACATGATCGATGATTTTACGCCATACGTAACATCGGCAATAGACTCGAGGTTAATTTAGCTTATACCTTTTCAGTATTGGTCTTAAAACTGATTTAATAGCGACCTACCTTTAAGTGTTAACATATTTACACCACATAAAAAATTTAGCTATGTAGTTAATTTATAAGTGATTGTAGTGGAACTTTGAAAACCTTTTTTTTTTATTTAGGACACAAGTATACTTATTTTATGCTCAATAAATAGTTAATATTGTTTGCATCAAAAATAAATTGATAAATTTTGTTTGCACCTGCACTTCATTTATGGAGCCATTGAGACATCACAATTGTATGCATGAAGCATAGAGTTCATTTTAAATTTAAAGAAAGCAGTGCCTTTATTACGTGTAATTCGTGAGTGGAATACGGTAAGACGATTTTGAAAAATAAATGTAGAATTAGGATTTTACAGTGAATTTTTTGAGTGCTCGTCAATGATGTAGTGTAGTTATTAGTCTTGTTTGATTGGTGAGACGGTACGCGCGGCGAAACATAATGGTGTACATTTTAATTTGTCTTATAATTTATGTTTTAAAATTCGTCGCTTATTTATTTTTCTAAATTATACATATCACAATGTTCGCGTATTGTGTGCGTGAAAATAAATTCACTACATAATTTAATCTATTATTTGATAGCTCTTTGGAAAAGACTGTACTTGTGTTGTAGCGTGAATATTGTAATTTAATCATAAGAAGGAGTTATAAATGAAGGAAATAGCTTTTCTTACGGCAAAGATAATGAAAATACTATTTATTATATGGTGATAAGCGATAGTCCACCGTCGGTTATGGTCAATCACAAACAAGCAAAAGATGGCGGTCAAAGAGCCATCAATTTTTAATCAGTTCCTTTCTGTTAAGTAACTTCTACTATGATGAAAATGTTTTGTTTCCGAATAATTTCCGTAATCATCGTTATAATAATCGTAGTATTTTAGTGCATATTTTTATACCTGAAACGGAAAATTTGTACACATTTTTACATAACGAATGTAAGTAATGTTTATTTGTTTCTAATTGTAAAGGATGTACAAAAGTTCTGAACATTTGCCTCGATTATTGAAAGGTAACAAATTTTTTTAATGTGCATGAGACGCATGTTTTTTTAAAACAGCCCAGTCGAAATTAATTGGTTTTAAAATTTTGGTGTTTAGAAGGTAAGTCAAGTGAAAGCAATAAATAATTTTAAAAATACCAATAGGGTACCATTGATTTATACTTAATATAAAAAATAAATAAAGGATAGATTATTTTTTTAGAATTTTATAGATATTCCATACCGTGATGATGACTTTGCAATCACAAAACAAATTCATCTTTGTATTCACCTATATATTTTTGAGTGTGTCCATAATTAAGGTAACTTTTATCGCGAAAGTTGTTAATCATAAAAGGTAAAGGAATCGTTTCTGAAAAGAAGTGCTAATAATGTTAATTTTTGGGACGGTAAATTTAAATGCATATAAATCATCAATTAATATTGTTTACGTTTTCGGGTGACTACTATAATATATTTACATCGGTTTTTACTTCGGTGAGTTGCAGACATAATTATGAATACTGTTACAACTTAACCTCGCGTATAATTAATTGTCGTTAAATTATTTCAGACGTTTTGAACACTTGACAGTTGACTCGAAATTTGAATATTCTGCTGCCTACATTATGTATCGAATCTACTAAAATAGTATAAATGACAATAATTGACGTGAGATTATGCCGTAACAGTAGTTTGAATTATAACAACTTTAAAGACAAAACCAACATAGGTTTACAATACTATCCATAAACATGTACACACTATATTTCCAGTGTACAATTTTTGAGTGCTCTTCAATGATGTAGTGTAGTTATTAGTCTGTTTTGATTGGTGAGACTGTACGTGCGGCGAAACATAATGGTGTACATTTTAATTTGTCTTATATATTATGTTTTAAAATTCGTCGCTTATTTAATATGTACATTATCATGTACACACAATATATCGACAAATATCTAGAAAAACAAACAACGAAATGCATTAACTAAATGACACAGGCGATGATTCTGTTTTAGGACTCACATTAAAAAAAAATACATTTTTTCTTAAAGAATTTAAAGTCCCACTGTATGATAAACGAAGGTATTATGATGTATTAATTATACAATTTTGTATTTTCATCGGTTTTCGCGAATCGTAGACAGAATTCAAATTACTTTTACAGTTTAAATGTCGTGTTTTGTTATTTACAGTTTAGTCATCCGTGATCACAAAAACTAAAAGTAGTTTTTATTATGTATACAATTCCGTTTTTACATGCATTAATTTATAGGTCCCGAAGCGCTCGAATCGTTATTGACCCTCCGCACTTAGTTGTGGGCACTTGTGGGTAGTCTGATAATCTCGTACAGCAGTTGGGTCGTCAGTTCTTGTCCGCCGCACGCCACGCCCTCGGTTCCCGTGTGAACGTCATTTGCTTTCGCCCTCAATTCATTTTCGCACACCACATCGCATGTGGATTATTACCAATTTGATTATTTTATTCGATGAACCTATACCTACCGTTTGGGCATCACTTACTTGGACACTTGACAATTTAGCTTGCTAATTTAAAAATGATCGAAATGCTTAACCTACCTACCTGCCTACCATCTGTTGAACACTAAATAAAATCATTAATATTTTCAGTTTACTTGCATGACAATTGTTTTTTTTTTTAAACTGCATTTTCCAAACGACGATTGAAATGAAGCTAACCTGTATACCTACTTGCTGATTTTAAATAATAGTACGCTACTTGTATGTTATTACCGATAAAAATGTCCCATCGATTTAACTATCAATTATTATTATTTTAAACATATTTTAAAGGATTAGTTTAATTGAATATTTCACAACAACTTATTTAATATTTAAACGTAACTAATTTAATATTAATCTTTGGCTACTATAATTAATTAGCAGTGTGTGCGGAATGTTTTGAAAATCTCATTTTGAGCTAAGATAGTATTAGTGTAATGTGTAACTGATAGGGTGTGTGTTTAATTATTTACAAGTTAATTATAGACAGTACAGAGAATGTGCCTAGAAATTATGCTAACCAATGTATTTTTATAGTGCAATAATATGTAAGATTGGAACCAGACTCATTTTTAATAGAAATTAATTGATCATTAAAATTATTTCTATTTTGCAGTGAAAAAATGGTATTTTTTGTCATTGAACTTTTTTAGTGAAGAAACCAAATTTTAAAATTGCTTCAAACCGTAATTATTGTCCTTAGTATAATATTTGGCTGCCATGTTCCAAATTAACTGTAGGAAGACATGATGTGATAGAAAATAAACTTTTTTACGCTACATTAAGTATTTTCAATTGAGTTTTATTGGGGGCTTTAGACGGTCCAGGTCTGGACGGGGTCGAGGCTCCCACGCCTTCCTCCAGTACACACTTACATTGCAACCGGAGATTGTACGTTCGTCGCTCTCGTTCTGCCTCGGCTCATTGGTCTCATGCAGCCGGCCACTTCGCTCGCCAATTTATTAAATCCTCCGCGTCGTTCATTTGTAAACAAAAGTCATTGTTTCGGTCCTAATCGGACAGTTTGACGATGGCGACTTGCCTTAGCGGGCGTGTACGGTGTCATCTCGCGGCTCGTTGTTGACAACAAAGGGTGACATGAAGTTTTGGAAGTGTAGCACCAAGGCGGAACGGCTTGCGGCTGCTCGTGGTGAGTTACAGTATTACGGAACAACGTTACATAAATACTCTAAATTATATATTTTTGGCAATTTCTGATAGGGTATGCTTTAAGTCTTAAACCATCCTGATAATATTAACAAAATTTCACAAATAATAACGGTTTCTGNGTTGACAACAAAGGGTGACATGAAGTTTTGGAAGTGTAGCACCAAGGCGGAACGGCTTGCGGCTGCTCGTGGTGAGTTACAGTATTACGGAACAACGTTACATAAATACTCTAAATTATATATTTTTGGCAATTTCTGATAGGGTATGCTTTAAGTCTTAAACCATCCTGATAATATTAACAAAATTTCACAAATAATAACGGTTTCTGCGATCTGTCGCGTTTAAGAAAGAGACTGAACGCGATTCCTTATTTATAAACGAGGAGTCGCTGAAGCATTAATTGACCTTTTATTGCAATCGACGTCCGTCTGCTTATAGACGATTTTCACCAATTTACGATCTAGTCGTTGCTTATTTAACTGACCAGTACTTGAATAATGACCCAGTCAATCAAACTAGGTACGGCCTTAAACTAATATTCGATGATGAAACCATCCTCGATACGGTAGCTTTATCAATTTAAGCCTCGTACTGAAATGACACAATGAATTTAGTAATTTAGTGGTTTACTGTATCGAATGCCCCTATGCTATGTTGAAACGTGAATGTCCTGACGGAGATAAATAGTATTAAAAAAATTGCTCTCTCTGGGTCTACAGATAAATTTCAGTGTTCTCTATTATATATTGCGTATTCCGTGTGGAATAATAACTTAAAATTATCTTAAATGATTAGGTACACGATTTACAGATCATCACAACTACTGGAAGCACTGCGTTCATTTAGTGCCTTTT